TTTCTGGTGCTTTCACTTCCTGAGACAGTTGTAAGCACTGTGTAACTAACTGCCTCGAGGGTGCTTCACCTAACACAACGTGGTGCGATCATCCCCCTTGCGCGGAGTGAGGGTTGTCGACCCCGCACAACATGATCTTCTCAACCACCATTGATGGTCACCGCAAAAAATTAAAGACCAAAGGCAAAAAAAAAAGAAGCGGTAACCTGGTTGCCGGGCCCACGAAGTGAAATGGCTTGATTTACAAGGTCGTTGCCAAGCGACGACAACCCAATCCCGATGGCAAACACCGAGGGGGGGGCGGGGGGATGTACTCATAGTCGTGCACGCCGTAGTCGTTAGACCAGTGATCAAGCATCCCTACAAAACCGGGACGGAGCACGCCGGGTTCTCACCGGACCAGGCTCTCACATCACCAAGCGCGAAGCGCCGTGAGATATTCGGCGAGTCGCATGAAGGGTGCGCTGCATCCTGCTAAGGGTGTTCGGCATCTTGTGCTTACTTCCTTGCGTACGGATGACAGCTGCGTATGACTTAATTTATTTTCTGGTGCTTTCACTTCCAGAGACAGTTGTAAGCACTGTGTAACTGCCTCGAGGGTGCTTGACCATTTTAACACAACGTGGTGCGATCATCCCCCTTGCGCGGAGTGAGGGTTCTCCACCCCGCACAACATGATCTACTCGACCACCATAATGGTTACCGCCAAAAACAAAAACGGAGGTAATAACAAACAACACGATAACCTGGTTGCCGAGTTCACGAAGTGAATTGGCTTGTTTTACAAAGTCGTTGCCAAGCGACGAAAACCCAACCCCGATGGCAAACACCGAGGGGGGCGTGGGGGGGCGGCTTGTTTTACGACGTCGTTGCCAAGCGACGAAAACCCAACCCCGATGGCAAAACACCGGGCGGGGCGGCTTGGAAATGTTTTTTCTTGTTTTGTGGTGGATGTGATGTGAATACGGCACCCGAAGAACCGGTCGTTTGGTTGGGTTGACGCCAGCAGGTGTTTCTGTCATCTGTTGATTCGCTGCAAGATCCAGATTCTGCGAAGCGCTAGGCCAAGTTGCATGCTTGCCTTTGCTGCGAGGCGAGGATATACCGGACGTGAAACCGTCCTCGCTGGAACACTTTTCGATCCGTCGCGTAGTGTTGCCGACGTCGCCTCTCTCTTGCTGCATGTGTCCGTACACTATCCGTTCGCTCCTGCGTCGTCACCGTCTTCTGCTCGTGTAGGCGTCGTGCTGATACCCTGGGCGCTTGGATGTCTCCAACCCCAACCTCTGCAAGAACGAAAACACTACCTCTCCCTGTACCTGAGTCGGTCCATCCCTCTCCGCTAATTTCTCGGTGGACTACGCCTAACCTTGCTCGCCCCCGCCCCCGCCCTCCCCCTCCCCCCCTTCAGACCGGTCCCACCCCAACTGAACCAGGGTTGAACACTATTGCTGGACTGCTGTGCTCCTACCCTTTGTTGGTAATCTGTTTTTCCTTATGTTTGACTCAAAAGGCTCCTGACGAAGAAGCGGATGTAGCGGTTCTCGAGGAGCCAGAGCATCTGAACTTCTTCAGGGCTGAGGGTGTTCCGTGGCTCAACAAGTTCAAGTGAGAAGCACCGCATACAGATGTAGCATGGCACCTTTGACCGCGAAGATGCGGTTAATACCAGATTTGGCATGGGATGGCATTGCTGCTGCAGACGGGCCGACGAGAAAGTGTATCGGGAGGGGTATGCATGTGCGTGTGAATACAGACCAAGGATGGGTCTGCCAAAGGCTTGACTACAGGCGGCGGGATTTTTTCTGAAACCGCGGGAAAAAGACATGACGTGAGTCAATGTGCCTTTGCTTGCTTAGGAGCACGTGGTAGGCGCGATTTACCCGAAGGCATCTCACATCCACTCTCACGAGCCCATACAGGCCAGCCCCTCTGCCCCCAGGACGGATAAAGTCGCCTCCACCATAGGTTACGCAAGATATCACACTCCCTGGAGCGGATTTGAAAGCTTGATTACTCGGTTAGAGAAAGGGACAACAGCGACGGTCCCAAAAATGGCGGAATCGGAACCGTCGCGTCGAGAGCTTTCCGAACACGTATCATATGCCTTCGGCATCTTCTTGGTCGTTGAGTACCGTAAATGACACAAGATAACACACCCCCTGGACCGACTTTCAAATATCGATTTCTGAACAACAGAAAGAATCACGGCGCCGAGAACGGCGGCGTTGGAACCGTCTCGTCGAGAGCTTTCCAAAAATGTATCGTTTCGTTCATGCATCCTCTTCGTCGTAGAGTACCCCAGCTCTGAAAACTGGTCCAGGGGGTGTGTCATCTTGTGTCATATACGGTAATCCGGCTTCGGAAATCGGTCAGAGGGTGTGGCATCTGATGCATCCTACTGTACTCGCGCGGCCCGCATGTACTACTGCCCCGTTTCCACCGCCCCTATTGGGGTGATTGTTCGCAGAACGGGAGAGACTGACTCCCGAAAACGCCTTGCGGCGATTTGGGTTTTGTCAAGCGAATGTAAACCCCATACTTGTATCGGTATCGCACCGTCCTTGAAGAGGGTGCGGTGCATGTCAACGGTCGCATGCGTCACAGCAGGTATCGCTCGCTGGGCCTTCTCCATCCATTACTCTTGCACCAATTCTCCTTTCTTCCCCGTCCTCCCCTCTTTTTGTTCAGCCTTGTGAAACGTAGCCTCGGCCGGCGAAAGCTCGGCCTATCGCTCCTCCGTCCCGGGGGATTGGGTGGTCAATAGTTTCGAGGGCTGTGAGGGTCAATGGTTACAAGGGATGGGAGGGTCAACGGTCTAACGACTACGGCATGCGTTTACACTAGCACACCCCCCCCTGGCCTCCTGCCCATCCAAATCCGCCCCGCCCCCCGCCCCCAAAGCTACGTGGTGGGCATCATCCACACCAACTACCAGTTCTACGCCAGGGGGGAGAAGCACGGTCGCGTGAAGAAGCCGATAGTGAAGGCGGCCTGCGCCTTCACGGTAAGGGCTCACTGCCACCGGATCATCAAGCTCTCCGACGCGCTACAGGGCTATGCTCGGGAGAAGGAGATGGTGGAAAACGTGCACGGGGTGAGTGGGGGAGGGAGGGAGGGAGGGAGACCGGGAGGGTAGGTCTTGATTTATCCTGTGACACATGCCTTGGGGCGATGTGTCCTGTGGTGTTTGCTGTTTCAACTGTCTGTGTGTATCTGTCTGTCTGTGTCTCTGTCTCACTCTCACCCTCTCAGCTTTATCCGTCTCCGTCTCCGTCCTGTCTCCCCTCTCTCATTTTCTCTCAAATAACCCTCCCGAACCGCGACCCACCAGGTCAGGCCGCAATTCTTCGAAGTTGGGGACGAGGCTGTCAAAAACGGCTTCACGGACGACGCCTACTTCATCGGCAAGGTAAGACGCGTCTTCGGCGCCAAACCGTTTCAGGTTTCGAGTTTCACGAGGATCTTCCTCGCGTCTCCTCTGGTCCTGCTCCATTTCTTGTCAAGTCTCACGCCAAACGCTGGCTTTCTCGTTGTCCACCCACTCCTTCCTACCAGCAGTTTGTCGAACCATCCAACTATCGATAGCCCTTGCATACCCCTCCGTTCGACCCGAATGACTCGAGTACCCCTGCCGCCATTCCTCACCCTGCCCAACCCGTAAGGTGCTGTGGAAAAAAGGCATAGACATCCTCCTGGCGCTCATGTACAACGCTCGGAGCGCCAACACGGAGGGGTCGGACGTCAAGCCGGATGCTATCGTTGCCGATGCCGCGACTGCCACCGCGGCAGCCGCCGATACCGACAGCACCGGTTCGAACGATCCGCCACCACCGCCACCGCCGTCGCCGCCGTCGTCATCTTCCGTCAAAGAAGACGGAGCGGGGGGTGAGAAAAGGGGTGACGTCGGTGCCGGCGAAAGCAGTCAAGGCGGCGCCGGCGGCGGAGAAGCCAAGCCCTTCCCGATCGTCATCTACGGCAACGGCAGCGAGTTGGACGAGGTGTGCGCCGCCGTTTCGTGTGCACGCTTGAAACGAACGGATGTCTTGGGAGGCGAAGCAGTCTGGGTGTTG